GTTGTGATGGTAACAGATTGGGAGATACCTGTACAAATACGTTGTGGATGGAAAATGGACTTATAATCCTGATGCTCCATTGACGAAGCCTGACAAAAGTGGGAACGTCAATAATTATGTGGAGGTATGTAGTAACTGTTTTTTTGTTTCCCCTCTGCCCCTTTTTCTTGTCCTTCTTCTCGCTCTCGAGTATTTTCTTTCTGTTGGTATTTTCCTGTGCTCTCATCTGTGTCTGAGCGAGCACCCTCAAGTTGTGCCAAATAGGTGCCTCTTTTTTCAGAGCCTGCAACACTTATAGGGGGCCCGCTGGGCGCATGATGCAAGGACGAAGGAAGACGGCTGCGGCACACAGACCGTTAGGGGGATTATAAAAACATGTGTGTGCCTCTCATGGTCTGTGTGCTGCAGCCGTCCGTTTGTTAAGACGGTTGCGGCACACAGACCGTTAGCAGGACAGACACATGAAACCACACCACAGCATCACCAAGAAACGTCGAAGCGAGCGGACAAAAGGGATTTCAATTTTGAACCTTCCTCACTCTAGTGGAACATTTCCTTTTCACTTCATTATTCCGGAGAATCGATAAAATTAATAATATTAATAATATGAGTGATACCACTCTCGTGAGAGGTCCGAAAAACGCCTCAGGCGTGACTCATGAAAGGGATGACTCAGTGACTCTGATGGTGCTGAAAGCCTGCAGTCTGTAGAGGTCTACTTGTGGCGGGAGTAGGTGGGGKGATGCATACAAGCCTATTACAAGGCAGTCCGCTCCAGGAAACAACACACAGCGAGCGGGCTGGGCGCCCAGACAGCATAGCGGCGCCGACAAGGCTGTCCACTCGTATGCTTCAATCTCTTCTGTCCCGTATTGGACCCCTTGTCGGCGCCGCTATGCTGCCTGGCTGCCCAGCCCGCTTGCCGTGTGTTGTTTCCTGGAGCGGACTGCCTTGTAATAGGCTTGTATGCATCACCCCACCTACTCCCGCCACAAGTAGACCTCCCGCTTGCCGTGTGTTTTCTGCCTGGAAGTGTGTTTTAAAGTTTAAACATTTTATTGGTTCAAATTTCACAATTGTGTCGGAACTTGTCTGCGTTTTCTCCCTCCCGTTTGGATGATCTTTCCTGTGCTGTTTGGCCCGGGCAGTCTGCCGCAAGTGGTTAATGGGGACCTCATTATTTTTTTGTTAGTAGCTAGTATGATCTCCGCTCTATGAATTGGTTGCAAGTTTGGTTGAAATGACTCTTTTGTTATATATGGCATGACAGGTTGTGTCTGAGAATTGAGGCCTCCGTTAACCACCTCTCTCCAATCTCGATACATGGACAGAATTATCACGGTGTGAGTTTGAAACGGGCAATTTGGGTAGGAAAGAATCCATTGGGCTTTTTTTTTTTTTTTTTTTTTTTTTTTTTTTTTTCTGTTTTCCCTCGACGGCCGACCCCTGTAGTTTTGACACCTGGCCTGGCACCACGGAAGCTGGTACTGTCGTTGCTTTTTCGAACTCGACGGCTGTTTTCTCGTTTTCTTTGCCGACGCGTGTTTTATTTGCTTCGATGCTCAAAATTGACATCAACGTACTTGCGCCGTTTTTTTTTGGGGGGTGGGTGCCCGGGGTGGGGTTCGAAATTGCATCTGATGATCTGACCTTATCTGCGTCCCCCCCCCCCCTCCCTGTTGAACCGCACTCTTGGCCACGCGAACAGGTTGTGGGAAAGAAATTGGGAAGCGAGAAGTGGGCAGTTCGACGACGAGTCATGCGTCCAGATACACGGCTAACGGATGAAGAACGTATGAAGGTCATCGAAAAGTTGGACGAGATTGTGAGCCAGAGGGAGAAGGATGCTGCGCTACGGGAAATCTGATCTTGGCACCTGCTTCCCTTTTAAGGACAAAAAAAAAAAAAAAAAAAAAAAAAAGAGAAGGATGACAAGGCAACGGAGAAGGCACCTGTCTAGCCGAGGAAAGATTGTGTGATGCTGCCACGTGGAAGAAAACAACGAGAAAAGAAAAAAGAAAGGAAGGGAGTGGCAGAGGGCTAGAGCACCTCAGCAGCGCCTCGCAAAGGTCAGGTCACAAGAACGCCAATGGTTGTTGCTCCTGCCCGTGATATAAACACACGTGATTGAAAGAGGAAGTAGGACCTACTCGTGGGAGGTTGTCCATGTGTATACGCACCAGCAAGAACGGCTGCTAAACAGCAATTGAACTTCTGCGTTCATGCTCTCTCTCTCTCTCTCTCTCTCTCTCTCTCTCTCTGGTCGTTCATCTCTCTCTCTCTCTCTCTCTCTCTCTCTCTCTCTCTCTGGTCGTTCATCTCTCTCTCTCTCTCTCTCTCTCTCTCTCTCTCTCTCTCTGTCTCTCTCTCTCTCTCTCTGCGTGTGTGTGTGTGTGTGTCGGTGTGTGGCACACATACTACACGCATTGATTATCCTTCTGCCAACAGTTTTTTGAGCTTTTTCATTTTTAAAGGAGTTTTTTGAATTTTCATTTTGTCCTGTATACAAATTGGTGTGATTCCACTGGGAAGTATTCCGATCACAAGTTATTAGGCATTTGAATTCTGGGTTCTGCAAGCTTTGTTATTCTTCTTCTCATTGGGGCCCCTTCTTTCTCTCCGGGACTTCTCTGGAAGGCCCGGAAATGTATACTTGTGTTTTTGTTGGATAGGTATGGCAGTTCGAGTACAAACTGTATACTTGTGTTGTTATTGGATAGGTACGGCAGTTGAGTAAGGGCGCTCTCACTGAGCTCTTTTAACTGACCATACCGGATGAATATGGGCCTACCGACGTGACCGTAATTGTAGGGATTGTTTACTTTTGACAGTACAGAGGGCTACAGTTAAGAAAATCTCTTGCAGTTTTTTTTTTTAACTGTCGATACCAGTTCAAGTCAGACGAGCTCTCGACTTAGTGTGCGTGATGTCGGTCAGGCCTGACATCGACACGTTACGTCAGAAGTCCGATTGCCGATGAAGGCTCGTCGATTGAGAAGGTAACCGCTGCAGGTTGCAGAGAAAAAGGTTCACGGCAAAGATACAGTGGCGATCGCAGAGCAGCCTTCAAGGCATGCCTTCACCCCTCGAGTAACCGGAGGAGAGTAGGAACTCCCAGCACAGCTTCATTCCAAGTATTTGAGACAGGATTTGGGACAGGATTTGGGACAGGATTTGGCACAAGATTTGGGACTGATATACGGTGGAACGGCTGCAGGGAGTCGGTTACGGTTTTCAAAAACATGTGGGCGTGCGAGAAAAATCTGACAAACTGGGATTGGTGAAAGCGAGACGGCGAAGTCTCGAGGGCGGCGAGGGGTTTTTTGAAGACTGAAACTGAGTTGAATGGAACGGGTAGAAGGCAAGGCAAAAGTGGATGAATTGATCTGACGAATGGAGGAGACGGCAGCGGGTTGAGTGAGACGAGATATATATATATATACAACTATTAAGTTGGCACGCTTCGGCAAACCGGCATCACTCGCGTAGTGATAGGCACGAGCTATATACGGGTGGTGGACACAAGCTATACACACGTTGACTCAGTGTGGAAATTTGCAAAACCAGCGGCACATCACTTGAGCAGCGCCGGACAGACGAGTTGTGGGAACACGTTTCGTGTTTCGTGATTGCGTTCTTGTATTCACTGTGATAGTAAAAAGCTTAGTACAAGTTTGCAATCAAGATCTGATGCTTTATGTATTCTTCTGTTTCAATTGGTGTGGCGCATTAGTAGCCTCCTCCTCCTCCTCCTCCTCCTCCTCTTCCTCCTCCTCCATCTTTTCCTCCTCCTCCGCCGCCACCGCCGCCTCCTTCCCTTCCTCCTCCTCCGCCGCCGCCACCGCCGCCTCCTTCTCTTCCTCCTCCTCCTTGTTGATGATCTCTCTTTCTCTACTGGAATGTTTGTGTGTCTATCGCTCGCTATGGCGTTAGCATTACTATAGAAAGCTGTGGTGCTATACTGAAGTTTCCTGTGATAAGCAGGTCGAGATAGATGTCTTCCGCTCGGTTGGCATTCGCATGTCTTGGCTTGTTGTAGATTCGACGAAGAAATGACGACGGGTCATTCAAGACACAGATTGGATTGTAACTTTGTTAAGTGTGCGAAGTGGGTGGCATGTCGTTCAAGAACACCTTCATTCAAGGTCTTTTTTTTTTCTTTTTTTTTTTTTTTTATGAAAGCAGGCCATAAGTTAAACAGGCAGACAGTTTTTTTCTCTTTTTTTGTGAACATGCTTTCCATCCAGTTGCGGTTCCGTCAGCATTGTTTTTTTTTTCTTTTCTTTTCTTTTTTTTTTTCCAGTCAAAAGAAAAGGGAGGAGGGGGGGAGGGGAAGGGGGGCGCTTCTGAAGTTAAGTTAGCCTGTTTTGTGAGAATGTGTTGTTGTCAACATGTTTTGTCCACACCTGGTCAAGTTTTTTTGTCTTTTTCGGAAGTTTTTCCTGAAATTTTTGTTTTTGCAATATTAACATGTGTCCCCCACAGGTTAAGAGAATGCATTGCACTTGCGCGTGATCTGGACTCTTAACGACACCGACTGTACTCAATCATGCACGCGAGCACACCGAGAAGACTGTAAAAACATCAGGAATTAATACCGACGCAGGAGTCGTCCAAGTTACAGAATACCCAATACAAACTCGAAAAGCATGACGAATCGCGATTTTTTTGAACTTTTTTCGGATCAATATTCCTCCGGTCGTTACTTTCCCTCATCTCTGCGTTCCACTTTCAGATGTCTGGAAGGTCTCTGGAGTCTGTTTTGGACAGCCTCAGCTTGTCCCTTGCTCGTCACCCTTTTCAGTGCTAAAGGGCGTATTTGGGCATCCCTTCTTAGAGCCTAAGAAACCAAATGGCCTTTATTTATTTTGAAAGGGTGGACACCAAGGGAGGGATCCCCAAATTGTAATTGTTTCCGGGCTCTTACGTAGAAGAGTCTTGAGAAATTTTGCCAACATTCCAATCTCAAGAATCCTGAATCCAATGTCTTACACAGAAGAGCCTTGTGAAACCAGGATCCATTGGATCCCGCTGTTATGATAATAACAAAATCATCAGAATCTGGTCCCGACCGTACCGACTTTAATAGAGTGTAGTAGATGTAGTAGATTCTGGCTGAAGGGAAGGGTAGGGTTTTAGCTTACCAGGGTTTCAGGGGTTACGGTACCCTTAAAAGGGATGAAGACGAATGCAGCCAGCCTCACCACCACTCAGCACACAGATAAATATAGATGGGGAAGTAGCCAGTATTGTCAGGCATAATTGAGGCGGCCCACCTTCGGGCTGAAGAGGCACCGACCTACCATACTCCAATTGAACTTAGTATACACATTCTGCAAGATGTAAAAGGGGAAGGGGGTGCTAGGCCCTGTTCCCAGCAGATGTAACTCCCCACCAATAGATCGAGCCGCCCCCGGAGAGCTTGAGGTGTGTACTCCTACCAGCACCTCAAGCTCCTCCAGGGTTTCGCGCTTTTGAAAAAAAAAAAAAAAAAGAGATTGGCTGGGCGACACGGGGATGCGGGTGGGCAGCAAAGAAAAGAAACAGCAAACCAGGGGGAAAAAAAAAAGAAAAAAGAAAGGGACTTTGGCCTGGTGGCTCAGTGGTTAGAGCACCTGCTGGAAATGTGCATTGTGGTTTGAGGTTGCGGCTTCAAAACTCTCCCGCCTTGCGCACGTCCACCGTTAGCGGCGTTAGGCGATTTCATAGTGCCCAGCCATCCACACCCCCCCCTTGGGCTGACGCATGGTAAGTTTATACAGACACTGCCTGTGCACCGCCCAAGAGGTCCTCGTCCTTGGTGGTTGTATGCTGGGATGGGCTTGGGGGAGGGCTGTTTGGGGTTTGGTTTGCTCGTTGTTCCGACGACTCAGGTCTCTTCGGGTTGTCACTCCATGGGATGGTAGGGGATGGGGGCGGGGGGGGGCGCCCAGAGGGCATATATATAAACTTTTGTTGTGCATTCAAAGATTTGGTTGATCACTTGGGGTATTACACAGGGGTATCTTTTCTGTGGAAGTTCTTACCGTTGTATCTAGTCGCAGATATGGTCGCACCTATAGATGGACCCTGTTAGAACTGAAAGGACTGCTCATAGTAATATGGTACATGGTATTGAATGGGCGGCTCGAGCCTCTTTTCCTTTTTTTCCGGATCTGTGAGCCCGAATACCTGGAGTCCTCCCTTTCTGAAGGTCCGTCGGTCGGGAAGAAAACTTCTGGCAGGATTATCCCTCCCTACAGTCCGCCGAGACCCTACTCTGTTGACGATAGACTTCATGCGAATCGAAGGTCCATCTGCATCATGCCTCACACGCCTCACGGAGGAAAAAATAAAAAACTAAGAAGGGAAATGATTGCGCATGTTTGTGTGTGTGTGTGTGTGTGTGTGCGTGTGTATGAGAGAGAGAGAGAGAGAGAGAGAGAGAGAGAGAGAGAGAGAGAGAGAGAGAGAGAGAGAGAGGTTGCTCATGTTTATTGCTTACCAGCCCACTTAGCAAGTAAGGTATGTTGCCCATGATTGTACGGATATATGTCTTTTATCTTTTGGCATGTGAAAAATCATCAGAAGACTTTCAGTTTGGTTGGAGGGAAGGGTACTGCACAGAGAGGGAGATCTGTTGAAGACCCAAGCGACAGGTTTTACGTACCTGGCTATAAGTTCACGTGACAACCAGAATTCCCACATTGGAAGAGAATTTGCTGATAAATTCCTATGGCCGTAAGTTAAGGCTGTGGAGAGGGGGCGGCGAGGGGGGGGGGGGGGAAGTACAATGGTGGGGAAGGTGTCGAACAAGTATCACTATATATATCTATATATCTATATATATATACAGGGTTTCCAGGCCGAACGTACGGAGGCCCCTAAGCTGACCCCCGAACGTTCGGGCGTTCGGGTCCCCGTACGGGGCCCGAACCTGAAGGGGTTCGGACCCCGCAAAAAATTATTTTGGCACCTTAATATTATTATGTTTTTCTGAATTTTGTTTTGGGAGCTCTCTGTGATGTAAGGCATCTCCCTCTTAATTTTGTAGCCATTCTGTTCCCCCAAAAAACACATGAAAAAACGAGCAAAGAACGGAAAAAACCTTATGCTCCGTGAGGTTTCGGTAAGCTAGAGCAATCAATGAATTCAGTCGCACCGGGCCTACGTTGGTATGGGAGAACTGCTGAAAGCATATAAGCGGGAAACCCCTCTTGAAAAAAGTTATCATACAAAGTGAAAGACCATCACTTGAATAGGCGAGAAGTAAAAACAGAGAGTGATCTCTAAAGAAAAACTTTTCCGTTTGCTGGAACAACTAAACACTTGTTCGTACTTGGTTCTTAAGTGCTTGCTCCGAACCAGTGAAAATTGTATAAGCAATGTTCGATCAGCAGGAAACCACAAAAAAGTACGGCCGAAATGTTCGATCAGCAGGAAACCACAAAAAAGTACGGCCGCTCGCCCTAGCCAGCTACCGCCAAACTGTTTGGGATCCTCAAAGACTTTACGCAACGCATCTCACTTGTTTCATTATTCTGATTTGCATTCATTATCACCAAGCAGTCTGGAATATTGTTTGTAACAATTCCTTCAAAGCATTTTTTCATTTTTTATAACACGGCACCTTGCGAATATATTGTGTTGTATCTAAAGCTTTGAGTGACAAGTTGTCAAAGTGTTGAAAATGCGCTCGTACATGAAAAATGTGCTTCCAATTGGTTTAAAAAACCTCCAATCCATTTATGATTTATACAACTTTGACATGTTTCTTTTGCCATTTTCTGAATTATTTGATTTTTTTGTGGATTAATATTTACAAATAATATAATGACCATTTGAACGAATTATATACTCAATGAAATTACAAGCTCTTCGTAAATAAAGAAGTGTTTTTTCTAAATCAATAATAGCGATTTCATTTCGTAATGCGTACAGATATGGTTAAAAGTCTGAAGTAGGTGTACGATTACCAAAATGTGCCTTTGTACTTTTTGTTCTCGGCGTAGAATAAGAACCAGACTGATGATCCTCACAATCAATGTAAAGACAAACCCATAAGTTTTTTTTTTTTTTTTTAATTAAAAAAAAAAACACTGCTCCCCATGTGCCGCAAAGCCCGGTATGCCTGCACTCTGTTTCCCGAATTCCCTGTCCCAATTCCCTGAACCTCTTGGAATTGTCTGTATCTGTATAGATACCCTTTTTGGGGTTTTCCCAGTCCTGTTCCTTTCTTGGTTCAGTCTCCATTAAAACTACGTAGCAACCTGCATTACCAACCAGGCCTACGGGATCACCTTTGCTGCCCAAGTGGCCCGGCCGGGCAAGGGCTGCCCTGTAAAAAAAAAAAAAAAAAAAAGAAACGAAAAAGTGTTCTGCAGAAAAATAAACTGAACAACTTTTGCCTCAGGGTCATATCGGTACCCCATCAACAAAAAAAATAGGACCACCAGTACCAACTGGCCTATCTCAGCAGACGAGTAAAATACTATAATTTTGGGTGTCGTTAGACACTCCTCGGGGACGCGAAATCCCAAGGAATTGTTCGTTCCACCTATCCTTGGGGATGCAATCCGAAAAAAAGAGTGAAAAGGCTCGTAAGGAAATTCCTTGGGCAATAAGAATTTCCCCAGCCATTTCTTCCTTGTGCCCGCGAGGTCCCTTGGCCACAAGGAATGCGCGTTTCACGGA